TATACCTCTTACACACCTACACAAGTTCAAAGCACGAATGAGACTTCAAAGCTGTGGATTGCTGTGCGTAGAGGCTATCGAGCGGTTGACGGAAAGGGAACTTGAAGTACTATACCTGGTAGCTGCACTATAGCTACCCTGGGTCTCTATACCTAGCAAGGTGCCAACTACACCTTTCCATTCAGATGATGCAAATGATGCATTTGGCATTTCTTGCATCACCACCCCTCAAAAATCACCTCCAACACAACCTCAAAAAACCTTCCCTCGGAGCACCCTCCTCCCCCAGCATGTGCCGAGTTGACGTATACCTTTCTCGGGCCACCCCCCCAGACCCCCTAACTACTCACTTCGTTCGCCAGACATAACTCCGCTAGCGCCTTCTACGAAGGCTGGCTTTCGTAACCACTGGGTTCGTATTCGGAAGATTGTCTTCCTTTCAAGTCCATTGCCATCAGGTGGAACCTGTCGTTCGTTTTCGGGAGTGTACGTCAAAGCCATCGGATGGTGGACAGTTCCAGGTTCATCCACTCTTCGGTTCTCATGGGGGGAACCTCCACCACGTCGAGGAGCAAACTGACATCCTCTGCTGAAGCGCGGGTTGCGTTGAAGCGCGGGTTGCGTTGAAGCGCGGGTTGCGTTGCTCGCTAAGCCTATCAAGAGAGATTGAGAACCCTAGCTGAACAATGAAGTATATTGAGTATTGAAGTCTAAACTGATCCAGGTTGATCTAGACATATATAATCTAATTATATATATATATCATATATATTTTAACATGTTCATTGATTGAGGTCCGGTGTGCCATCCGGACTCGCTCAACTTCCAGAAAACCAGCAGAATGGGGGATCTTGGAGCAAATCTCTTTACTGTACTGGCCCACTGGCGACTGCAGCCAGAATCTATGTGTATCTACTTGTTCTATTCCTGTCGATGATAAGTGATAAGGTATCCATACTCTGCCAGTCCAAGCACCAGTCTAAGCACCTGGTCCAGCCAGCATGACCAAGGTGTTTTATGTCACGAAGTCCCCGGGACGTGTCATCCTTCCCCTTGGAATCCCACCTCTTCTTCGCGAATGGCCTCCAGGGCAGGTGCCAATTCCTGCGTGGGTGGTGCCCACCGCGAAAAAGAGCGAAGCATAAGGCCCTTCATTGAACACAAGGCGAAGCAAGGGACATATATATATATATATATGTATACAACCCCACACAAGAGGGAAGGACCACCGGTGGATTTCAGGCAGAAACTGGTGATCTACACACAAGTTTCCTGCACTCTATAACCATGGATTTCGTCATATATCGTATATCCCATTACCACTAAAAGCGGATGATGATGGTTAGGTTGTAGGCATTTCTCTAAAATATAGTGATTGTTTACTGACTGTTACAAGTTTTTTAGGACAAAGCCAACCCATAGTCTCGTGGTTGAAGATTTGGTGTTCCCCCTGTCCCAAATACACAGTCTGAACATGTCGATGAATTTGGCCCGACAACCATATGATGTATGACAATAAAGAACGTTTCAGTATGACAATAAAGAACGTTTCAGGTATATAGTATATATAGTTATAATATGTATGCATATGGGCGTATATAAAAAAGGAGACCTCCCAGTTCGACCCCTTGGAAGAAACAAAATAGACCAGTCTACCCATTGTGCCAGGGGGTCTCCCTATTAAAATACACAGCCTAATTGTCGTGTCTCGTTTCTACTTCAAAAGCTCATGCAAGGTGAAGCAACCCAACGCAGTGTTTCAGTTGTGGTCAGGGTTCTCTTTCGGTGAATGGGTTATGGGTTGGTGGGATGCCACATAGCAACTGATCACCGAAGCCCATTCCCTCAGTCTTTGGAGGGATAGTGAATGGATTAAAGGGATTGAGTTGGGGTCAAGAAGGTCACTCAAATGTCCAGTTTTGTGGTCGTTAGGGTTGTCCTACATCTTCAAAGCTATAAGCTAATGATATGAATCTTTGGATGTGCTTCGGAGACCAACAGTTCCTGAAGCTCCCCTACACGAGCATGCTGCATGCAGTGCAGCTCCAGTCCATAGACCACCATACAAGCGTTCAAAGTGAACCAAAGTTATAAGTTACAAGCACCTATAATAAGTACTTCTGAGTCCAAGTTAGACTTAGCTGGCTTAGCTGCTGCTTAGCTACTTAGCGAAGGACCCTCTGGCTAAGTAGTCACCTCATGTCATCACATCGAAGTAGTCAGACCTCTCCTTGGGCACGTTCAGTGACATCTGCTCTGCCTCATGGCTCCTGCAGGAAACACATCACCTCCGATTCGATCGGACTCCAGGGTGTCCCCGATCGCCCCTATCGATCCACTGCTTGTGAGGTCCGGTGATTGGGCGACTCGGTATAGCCTTGAGCCGTACCGAACCTGAGAAGGGATAACGGACGTTGAGCCGTCCCGGGTCTAGGATACCTCCTGTTCGGATGGTCGGACGTTGAGGTGAGTATGTATACGTCATGGTCGAACGGTGGAATTGGGGCCTTCCTAGCAGCACATCCGAGCAACACCTGGACGGAATCCGTATCACCAAGAGTTGCGAAGGAGTCCCAAAACGGGCCTACCAAGGGCACACTTCGTGTCTACTCTTCTGGATTCTCTGTCCTGTCTTGCTCTGATTCTCCACCACCAATGGATTGGTGTTTAACTAAATCGATTCTCCTCTACTTGCTTGCAAAACAAGCTTTCCAAGGTGAGCAAAATGTAGAAAACATGCTGCCTAGCTAGCACCCCCAGAAGTTGAAGTTGGTTGGAAGGTTTTACACAAGGACATCACTATTTTAGAGAAAAACCTGGAACATAACCATCATCCACTGGGCCCTGTAATGCGCACACACGATTAAGAAACCTTCCCACTACTAGTCAAACCCAGCTCGAGCCGAGCCTCCAACACTAAACTAATTTAAAGCCAACAAAATGTCCACACTTCCTGGCGGCTATTGCTTTCTGTTCAGTCAACATCCAATTCCTCCTCCACGCTCTCATACGCAGTGATCCAATTAGCATGGCTCTGATTTATTATATAGATTTATTATCAAACTTGTGCCAATATACTAAGAGCTCTCATCGTTCTCATGGTTCAAACTTTCATGGTTCACACAGAATCCCATCAACCATCATCAGGTCCGGTCATCACCTCATCATCCGTCATCAGCTCATCACCTTTATTAGGGGGATCTGGTCTCCAATACCTCTAATCTCAAGCCATGTTGACCTTGTTGACCTTGAAGGGGGGGTTGATTAATCCGGTGTTCACATTAATGGGAAAGACCCAACCCATGGTTATACAGTACAAATTTGTGTGGTGGTTACTGTAGATCACCAGTTTCTGCCTGAAATCCACCGGTGGTGAAGACCTTGGATGGCCATCGCCAAGTGTTTTCTGGCCGTAAGGAAGAAACATATATAAAGCCAGTGGATGCAAACCCGACTGTTACAGGTGAAACCCGACTGTTACAGGAGTGACAGACCCATGGTTTCATGGGTTTTTACCATATCATAAGTGTCGGCTTACGGGGCTTCAGGATCCAATCACCCTCGGGATCTATCCTTTTTTTGGACCGAACCAAGCCTCGATCCGGTACGCGACCGCGAGCGGGGTTTAGGCCCATGCAGTTGGGGCATGAGGCCATACTTTTATACTGGAGTCTGCACTGAAAACAAAAAAACTTGTTGAAGTCTTCAAATGTTTCTGCCAACTTGTTGAAGTCTTCAAATGTCTCCAGCCAAATTGTCAAAGCTTCTAAAGCCGCTTGCAAAGCCTCAAAAGCATCGCCACCCTTGTCAAGGTGGGCTGTGCGACACAGCTGCCTGAAGCGCTGACGAAGAGAGCGCTGACTGTGCCTTGTGCTCGTGCTGTCGCCGCCCCTCGGTCAATGTCCTTGACCACCATTCTGGCACGGACGCCTTCATCGGATTCTGGCTTCTCAGCTGTCACCCACCTGCATGGAATTGGTTTGACCCCATGCTTCTCGCAGAAAGCGTGCATCTGAGGTGTGGTCAAAACGATGCCAGCCTTCACAGTCGTAAGGCCTTTGACTTCTTTCAGCATACCTTTGAAAGTCCCTTCGGGGTCCAGTTCAACCAACGTAGTATCGCTAACTGCTCCAGTTGGCTTCCACACATAGACCTTGGTTCCACAAAGATCCACAATTTCAAAGCTGGTCTTGGCACCTTGCTCAAACCGGATGGATTCAATTCGAAGTCCAGACACGTCCATGGCCTCCGTGTCTTCCATTGGTTCCGGATGAGCTTCATTCACATCTTCCACATCCTCCATGTGAGCATCATCAGCTACACTTGGCTCTGTAAGTCGATGCCTAGGGTGATGGCAGCTGCGTACGCTTCTTCCTCACTCACATCTTGCGCAGGTGGTGGAGGAGCCTCAACCTCCCCTTGAGGGCCCATAAGCAGTGTGAGCGTCCACCTACTTAGTCCACGTAAGAGAGTCTACGTAAGGGGCTCCACGTAGGGGGGTCCACGGGAGGGACTTATGTGGAGGCCTTGGCTGGCCTTACGTGGAGGCCTTTGGCGGGAGGGCCTTACGCGGAGGGTTTCATGGGCTTAGTAGATGGGGGCCTTGGTGTGGAGGCCTTGCCTGGCCTTATGTGGAGGGCTCGGCTGGCCTTACGTAGGTGGCCGGCCTTACGTGGAGGCTTTGCTGGCCTTACGTGCCTCCTCCTCCTCCTCTTCGCTGTCGCTCGCCTCTTGCTGAGATGCATGTCGCTCAATTGTTTGTTAACAGGAGCATGGCCTCAAAGAGCAACGCAAAACGGTTGTCCCACAGGCAACCTGGCGGACGGCCCACCAGGGCAAACCCGGGAGGCCGTCTTTCTTGGACATCCTGAGATGGGCCTCCTCTCGTGGGCCTCTGAACAAAAATCAATGATATACTGAATATATACCTGCATAGCTTGCAGGCTTAAATTTAGCTAGCATTTGGGAATACAAACTGTATTTGGAATCCTGTCTAGATTTTACAGGTCCGCACGGGCTTTTACAGGGTCGAACGGGTACGCCTTTTCCACCCGGGTTTTGGACACCTCACCAGGCACACCACTCTCCGCCATCAGCTGCAGTTTCCCTCTCACCCCCTCCGGTTGGGATGCATCCACAAGAGCAGCACCTGCGTCAAGTAACGCTCGATGCTCCGCACGATTCGCGTACGTGGGTTTGTGCACCTTGTCAGTACACAAAACCTCCCAATAAAATCTTCGTCTGTACTGCAGCTTTGACTCATTGGGTTTTCCACAAAATTGGACATGTGTGTTTGGTCCACCATTGAACGCCAAAGATGCCAAAACATGTGTAACTTTGGGGTGATGCTGTACCTGGCTTCTTTGAAGCCGTGAAAGCTCACAAAAGCCAACCGGGAGTAGGCGTGTAGAAAATGTTTGGCAGCCGAATTTATTCGCGCAGCATCTGTGGAACTAATCCACAAATTGTTTTTGTACAAAGTGGACATCCAAAAGTTCAAAGCTCTGGTTCCGGATGCCTTACTTGATGACACACAGTAGAGAAGAACTCAAGTTGCGGACCCCTAAACTTTGAAGGAATTGCTCAAAGGAAGCCTAAACAAACCTCCAGGGAACTATCAGCCTGAACCGTTCGTGAACTGATGATTCCAAGTCCTTCAGCTGGCAAAAGTATTCCAGGAACTGGCACAGCGCAGTGGTCAAAGCCCCTTTGCTCCAACCACCGACCGGTTCCTCCGAACCTTTCCAACCAAGCGTAGAGCGATCCACCTTCCGAACGTAGCTGGTTTTCCTGTGTTCCGTAGCAATACGGAAGGAGGCTTTCAGTTTGGATCGAGTTTACCCACTGAAAAAAGAACACACAAAGCCCAACAAAAATTGCGTCAATCAAAGGTTGGGGATCCACACAGTACTCGACGTACAAGTCTGACAAAACCTGCAGCCTTTTCTCGATAGATGTCCCAGGACACACTTGCTGTAGGATAGCAAAGCCACATGCTGCCCAAGCTTTTCCGACCCCCAGGCTAACAGTGTGAAAAATGTCGACCTTATGAAATGCAGCCTTTTTGTCAAACTCGTGCATCAATTTCCTAGTGAAGACCGCTTCTTCCTCCCAAGGAAACTCAGCGTGCATAGTTGCGTAGAAGTTTGGGTTCTCCGACCTTGGGGGACGCTGCTAAACAAGTTCAAACACCAAGTTAAGTTTTGGCCCAACATAAGCATAGGAACACTAAGAACACTGAACAAGTTTCAACCAAGACACACATCCTCATAGTCATAATGGGGGCGCCCACTAAGACAGAAGTGGCAGATTCCGGTGCAATCTTTCTTGGATGCTGCAGCTTTTGGCACATTCCTGTAGCTGCGTACTAAATTGGCGGAAGTAGCCTTGATTGATCTTTGTTCGATACCCTGTAGTATACTGTTTCAGCGTGATCCCCAAAATGTAAAAACCAAAAACAATTGAACCTGCAACAAGAAACCAAGTATGGCCAGTCGCCCTTGTTTCCAAGGCATACCGGGTGTAGCTTTCCACCAGACGCCAAAGGGACCCCATTCCGAGAAGCATGGTCTAAAGATCCAACCACGACCTCCAGCAAGTCGGACATCACACTGTGATCATCACGGTAATCCTCCTTAGACACGAGGCTTTTAGGATGAGCACTTCGATCTGTGGACTAGGATTCCCAAACACAGTTTGCCCCCTAGCCGGCGAAGACAAAACAAACTATCGGAACTCAATTTTAGCCAAACTACTCGAAGCATAGCGCTCAGGAGAAATCGCGTTTCAAATGCATGCCCGACAAAGTTCAGATGTGGGTCATCCAAAACTTCATGTGTGATAGGGCCCATCTTGTTGCTAATAGTCCCACGGCCCATTGCACAGTGAAAGCTCAAACATAGGCACCCATCCTTTTTGTAAGTGGTGCCCTCATCCCCATGCATGTAGCAGGGGACGCACTCTTCCAATTTCAAAGCGTTTTCTGCGACAAGTTTAAAGACCTCGTGATTTGGATACAGGCGTTTATATCGTTTCCAGAACTCCAAGAGAGATGGGCCAGCATCCGCCAATCTTCTAACTTCAGGTCCCATACCCAAAAAGCGATCCAGCTTCCCAGCCTTGTCCAAAGTCTGTATCCAGGAAGCTACAGCTATGAAGGGATACTCCTTGTACTGGCCAACTTTCCCCTTTGAGACAGGCACATCAAATCGAAGACCATGCCGCAGAAATGCCCTGGACACCAGCACTTCCTAGGATGGGGTGCCCAAAAATTGAATGAAGATTGCACTTGCCAAGCCAGAAGGGTAACACCTTAAGCGAGTATATTGTTTGGTGATATATGATTCAAATGGAAAACTTGAAGGACCAAATTCAGGTTTCAGCTTTTGTAGGATCACCATCCCTGAGATCCCAAAGCACAGGGCACACCCGCGCGACCTTGGCCGGTCTTTGCTCCAAGTGGTGATCATCGACGCGTTCGTCGTAGGCGATGATCGAGTTGGCCCTCTGAATGATGTCTGTGCAAGGGGCCTAGGATGGATCGGTCAAGAAGTTGGCCAAACCCCGGTTCGAAAGAACACAACATGATGCCATCAACTTTGGGGCTACGGCTACACAAAGCTCAAAACATAACGCAAAACTCTCTCACCATTTGTCCACTACAAGCACCTCGAAACATCGCAAACGAGATGCACCCTTGGCATAGCTCCATGCCAAATCCAATGCGGCCTCTGATGGACCTGGCATGGAAGAGCGCGTGGAAGCTTCTTATCTGAAACAAAGCTTGGGGTTGAACTGTCGATCTTCACCTCTACAGGTGTTGGGAGTGTATGGGTCTGAAATGGTCGGGAGCAAAAACAAGCACCTTTCCTGTTTTGTCCTAGCACGCGCTTTGCCCAAATTGAGGCGCATGGTCAAGTCTGCTGTCTACCCATATATGGATCATACGGGTTCTGCGTGGTGTATCCTTTCAGATACACTCCCCCTAGAAAATGAAAAGCCAGGACTGACAAATCCTGGGGACATACCATCCAAAAATGGACCCAACATGATCAAAATAAACATTTGCTGGCTGAAGTTGATTGACTGCTAGGTAACTGAAAATCAACTGACATTGGGTCCCTCAAGGCATCACACCACCTAACACGGCTTTCAGCCACTGAGATCGAGGTGGTATGGCGATCCACAATGAATCTTTCCACCTCGAGCAGCTCCTTGGCAGTTGTGACGGAAGGAATGTGACTGCCAGAATTGCAAGATGGCAGTCGATCATGAAGAAAACCTTATAGTTGCTGGTAAGATTCTCCACCTCAGTACTCGATTGCGTTCATTTCTTTGTCTTTCCCTTTGGCTTTGGTTTGGCTTGTGGTTTCTCTTCTTTCTCATTGTTCTCACTCGACTTGTTGTTCTTGCCAGGTTTGACAGTAGCCTTCTTGATCGTAGCCAGCAACATCCTTGGTACCAGGATGGAAATTGTGTTTCATTTCCTCAGATTTCCATGGGACAGCCACTCTATGCTATAAGGGGCTGCCAAGTAGCTTTTGCCTGGACTCAAGGGACAGCATGTCAGCTGACCTTGCACAGAGAATGGGCCATGGTATTCGAAGGTTTTCCATATTGCGATGAGAACAGTTTTTGGTTCCATTTGATGAGAGCGTGTGGAATTGACATGACGCTTTACTCTAGACACCTGCGACATGAACTCAATGCCGAGTTGCGGTTTCTTTGACTTTTCCTTCAGCTGCGAGAATTTATCACGAAGCCTAGGTGGCCATCTTCGACGGCTATACCCTGTGGTCTTTCCACTGGCCATGAAAAACCTGAAGCCCCTCCGATCCACCGTGGCTTGTCAATTTTGCGACGATGCACCACCTGTAAAGGTTTATGCTTGTGAATTACATGTGAACTAACCACCACAGCTACGAATTAGGTGGGCGTTGCTGGGCCTTTTGAAACTTTGGTACACCAAATATGTACAAAATGGACCACCGGAAGCGCCATCGCTGACAGTGTCGCCACCACTGCGGTCATTTCGACACCCTTGGATACCTTAGTGGCATGTGACAAAGGCAGCCTACTGCCAAAACCAACTTTGGGGTAATGTTTGGGGCCAAAGCCGAATCAAGTGGAAAACACATCATAGCTGTAGATGAGTCGAGGTTCCTTTGTATTTTTGAATTAAAGCTGCCTCCAGAAACGACGGCCCCACTGGCTCCACCGAGATGTACAGGACAATAAGTCTTTCCCATTGTTGCCTCTCACTGGCGTACCCGTAAATTGAATTCCGGAACCTGAAGTAAGGGCAATGTGTCCACCCAATCTTGAACACAACAGGCCCTGCTCGTTTGATCACATCGTCGATGGTGTTGCAAGCGTGGGCTAAAACTTTTCCAGATGAACTTCCCTTAGGTGGGAGCTGGCAATCCAACTTCGGGTCATCTCGTATTCTCTGCAGGCACTCGGCAGTCCGTTTTAGTTGGAGTATGGCATCGTCCAACTGGGAACACCATGGTTGTGGAACAGCAAGTGCCTTTCAGGGAAGGAAGTGCCTACCAAAAATATCAATAGTCAAACGCAGCACTCTAAGAGAGTTTTGCCCTGTTTGTCCTGCGCCAAGGTTTGTGGAGCTGGAACTGTCGTCTTTGGCGCCTGGGCGTGTCAATCATGGGTGGAAGGAAGCCTCCACAGGAAAGATCAACCCGCTTTGTGTCCAAAAAAGTGGCCGGTAAACATATTAGGTGTCAAGCGGCTTGACGATTATATTCGATGAGTTCCAGAAGCCAAAGGTCTTCATCATCTCCACCGTCATTGCACGCCAATGCGCTCATGGACAGCGAAAAGACAACTGCATGATCAATGAGACTTACGCTAAAAATGGATAGTTGCCATATGTTGCCATCAATTGAACCTACAGTAATAGAAGCGACCAGAATGAAACATATTTGAAATCTATGCACTTTTGTGAGCCCAAAGGGTCGATAAAAGGGGCTACAGCAAACTGATACGATTACCAAAGGTATCAACCGGTTGGATTTAGGCCCCGTAAGGTTGCAGGCAGAGAAACTTCTCTGACGTGGAGCCCTCATCAAGCATGATGTCCGCCTTGAGCTCCGCAAGGCTGCTGAAAACGGCCTTCAAATTGAGCCTGACATTCTCCCAATCCTTCATGAGCCTGGGCTGGCAGGAGTTGGGATCAGGTTTTAAGTGGGGCTGCAATATCTAGTTCAACACTTGGCATGCACAGTTGGGACCCTGGCTCTTTTGTCATCGGATTGGTTGCCCCATCACCTTCAATCTCAAGCTTCCCCAGATTGGACTGAACAGCCATCATCTTGTTGTGAATCGCATCCATGAACTTAACGAGCTCCGGCAGAACCTGGCAAGATTATCAATTCCTGTCAGCGTATTTTAATATGCATGCATGCGTGTGATTATAGTGTTCTGATGTGTTCTGTTTGTTTGAACGATTTTTGGGATCCTGCCTTGTCCCCCAACTTTTCAGCAGCTGGAGACAAGCCCTCTTCGGTGATCGCTTTCATGGTTGCAACCTTGATGGGTTCCACTGGCTGATTGTCCTGACAAGTGTCCAAGCCAAGGTGGAGGGTTGACTGTGGTTGTTTTTTTGATACACGCAAACTTTACTTTAATGCGGTGGCTTTCCTGACAAGTGTTGAAGGGGACCGCAAGACGAGACCAGATGCTTTGGCTCTTCTTGTTTCCACTTCAAGAAAACACAACTCGAAACCCAACACCCGATCAACCTGTTCCCAAGGAACTTTGGTTTGGAGTGGCTCATAATGCTGCGAAGCGTCATCGGTGGCATCAACAGCTTCTTGGCGCTTCAGCAGCTCGGTCTGACGGATGGTCTGCTTGGTGGACGTTTCCACAAAGTATTCCGGAACCGAAGCATCATATTTCCAAGCCCTGGCACGTGCACAGATATTCTGAACATGTCTATTACTATAGGACTGGTGGGCTCTCCAATTTTTCCAGGCGTGTGCCAAATTTTAGTGCTAGTCTGGTCAAACTATAACCCACTCTGGTCCATCGTCACATAGGTGTTTAAGTTCAAGCCTCAAACACAGGTCAGGCATACCGCTTCAGGGCTGTAGGGAATCTCTCACAATATCGAATGATCGCATCGATCGTCTCCCTGGGCCGTGTTCAAAGCAAGATGCTGACCGCAGAAATGGTGAATTTACTTTTAACCAAATTTCAGAAACTGCAATCCATCGCGTCACCACTGGCGGGTATACGTGGGAAGCAATCAAATTAAAACACTCTTGAGGGCGAGGTACGGGCTGAAGTCACCACTCTTCTCCATTTTCTCCCTGGTCATCCACTGTCCAAGGATCTCCTGTTCCTTTGATGTCATTCTCTCTCGCACCAGAATCACCCGGCTGCGAAATTCAGCCTTGGAGCCGAACAGATTTATATATAATTCACAGAGATCCGAGGACATTGGATGAGAAACTTGTTGGGACATGATCTTCAGAGTCAGCGCGACTAATGGACCAACGAGTCAAACCACCGAGATGCAATCAAGAAACTCTGAGCGCTTTGTGACTCCTGTTGTCAGCCCCAACCTTGGAGATCGCCTCGATCAGAGCTATTTCCAGCCACTCGCGCTCCTCGCCACCTTTCTCATATGCGCTCTGGGTGTCCTCGTCGACGTGACTCTTGCCCTTTTTGGTTTTCTGACAAAGTCTTCGTAGTCTCATCCTCAAAGCATCGTGGCTCATCAGCTTGCTTCCATTTGGAAATTCGAGCAAGTCCTTGCCCTCTTCCGCCTTTGCGCCATCTTCATTGGTTTCAGTATCATTCTTCTCACTGGTTTCGTCGCCAGCGGACAGCATGTGTACTGCTTGAGAATCTGGAGCAGAGGCCGTTTTGGCTGATGTTGTAGATGAAGGGGTCATTGAATGGAGAGTCTTGGGAGGAGGCGTCTCGAAGGACGTCATTTTTGTTTGCTTCTCCTCCTGCTGCTTCAACTTGGCCTCAAGTTCCGTAATCCTCTGCATGGCAACCAGGAGCAAAGCATTTTGGGATTCGGTCACCGGTTCCGAAGGCTGAGCGCTGACATCCTTCGCGGCTGTCTCCAAAGCCTCCAAAGCCGGCGCCCTCACAGGCGTTGGCACTGGCGCCGGCGTTGGCGCCGGTTCCTTTGGGGCCTCAGCTTGAGACTCTGCAGGAGTGTCCACGAAAAGGTTGCGCTTGACTGTCGGCTGAGAGTCCACCTCCTCCTGAACTTGGGCTGCCTTCGCAACTTTGGCCTCCGGTGACACCTTCTCCTCCCTTGCTGGGGCTGGTCGCTTCAACTTCTCATCCAACGCAGCCACTGTCAAGGCAGACTCTACTTCTCCGCTCTTCTGAACTTTCTTCTCCGGGGATAGCTTCTCGTGTGTCTCTGGCTGAAGTCGCTTGTGCGCACCCTCATCTCCAGTCTGGCCCTCGACCTGCGTGGAGACATTGGATGAGCCATCTGCAGACTCGTGCTCCTAAAGAATGTGTGTTCATGTGGATCGGCATCGATCGGCGCACCCTCAAATAACAAGTTTTTCGTATACCGTATACGGTATACACACCAGCACAAGAAACAAGGTCCTTCCATTCACGGGATAGCCGTTCGATCTCTTCTGGCTCCTTGGTGTGCCATGATTGCGCAGCACGGAAGTTATTTCAATCTGATGTGGGAAGGTTTGATAAAAGCAAAATAATCTCTTTGCAGTTTGATGGGCCCTCAAAGTTGCAGTAATTTTGATTCGTGCATCTAATGTGATAAACATGTCTTGGAAAATTGTGAGAATGACCACCCCACAGCTCCATTCCCATCAGCAAACACGAGATAGGTCCCAGCAGCAGCAGGCAGGGTAGCAAGTTCAGAGATCGGAGCTGCATCACATGGAATCTCCTCCTTCGGCTTGAGCAAGCCAGAACTGGGAGCCTGGGATACTGGCGCAGGGAGTGTGTGGAGGACCTATATAAGAAGGCACCCACGCATGTATACGGGCCAACAGCTGTGGACAAGATTCTGTGCCCTTCTGCATCAATGCTCTCGCCTCCTAAAAGCCGGCCAACACTTCACGGTTGAAACCCTGAAAAAACAGTAAGGTGTGCTTGGTCAGTTCAATCACTGCACACACAGGTCCTTGATCGCTCGCATCAACTCATCACGGGACAACTTGGTGGGGTCAATGACTAAATCCAGCCCAGCAAGGCTGGCACACATTTCAGCCCCTTTGGACAACTCACTACAGGACCATTGCTTGCTAGCCAGTGAAACAGCCCTTTGGTGGCTTTCAGCCATTGGTGGGGCTAACAAAACCAAATGAAAAGTAGCTTGAGAGAAAGCTTCAAGGCAAACTTCTGAAGAACATCGTGTTCAACCTGCACCTTACCTCCTCACAAAGGTTCTGTCACAATCAAAAACATATTAAAAACACAACATTGACACTCTCTCAGTCCCTGTCTTTTTGCCGGCCTTCCAACTATCGTATCTATACTTGACAAAATGTCAAAGTTTTCCAGCCTCTTCCCCAAAAAGAAGCATTCTATCTTTAAAATATTGTACATCGATCGCGCTGTGGCTAACCCAGACTCGCGCTGATCGATTTTTGAGACCTCCATACCCTAGGAATTTTAGACCTGGAACCACCCACCCAAATGCAACAAAATTACACCTAGCGAACGCTTTCTGAACGCCTTCTGAACGCCTTTTGAACGCCTTTTGAACGCCTTTTGAACGGGTACGGGTTCGCACGCCTACGGGTACGGGTTTGCACGGGTCCGAACGCTCTTAAAATGCAACATTTTTACACCTCGGCACGGGTTCGCACGGGTACGAACGGCCCCGAACGGTGCTGAACGGATATGACCAGGTTCCCCAATTCTGTTCCCTTAGTTCTCCCAAAACTTGTGTAAATGTCACTCAGACCCAGTACAATTTAGGATCAGGCCCCCCCAAGCTCAGTCAAGAACTGTATTGAACAGCTTGCAGATCATTCCAGGGCTGGAAGGTAGGGAAAATGGATCCAATAAATTAAGAAAAGGGTCACCAATGACAGCCTTGTCGTGTCGTGTCTACCATCCCAGGGTGTGTTGGAGGTCTTCAGCCAAACAAAAGATGCCTTGGGAAGACCGCCCGCCATTCGTCGGGTAATTGAAGGGATTCATTGCCCCTCAAATACACCAAAAGTGGTGTCAGGTGCGCCGCAGTCCAATCCTCATCCGGGTACCATTTCATGTTGTCGAACACTGATGGCCCGTGAGGTCGATTTGGCAAATCTGGCTTGCCACGGCCTCTTGTCTTTAACTTGGGCAAAAGTGCCACCGTGTGCAGCCCAAAGCGGATGGGGTAAATCCTGGGCGGAGCAGGCAGATGAGTTGACTAGAGAGGCTGAGAGGACACAAAAAAAAGGGTCCACACAGATCGCTAGTGTGGACCCTTTGTGTCCTCTCAACCTGAGTTGGTTGAACCAATGACCATTTGGCGCTTTGATTGAAAAGGACGTGTCCGTTTGAATGGGGCCTGGAAAAATTTCCACCCCACCCAGTACCACCAAGAAAAGAACTTCAATTGCTGCGCATATACTATAGATCATCTGTTTGGGTCAACCCAGGGGCCCATTCCCACCTCAGAATTGTAATAATCAAGATGTACACTCAATAGCATTACAACCGATTACAACTGCCAGGCTACAGGGGAAAGAAGTCACGAAGAAAAGTGATTGTATGGAAGCGAGCAACTGAGTCTTCTTGAGTTGGGCAGACCCTTTGAACCTCTTCTTGCCACTCCGATCAACGTACTGGATGGTTGACTTTGTAGAAGGGTCCTGCTTGGGTAGCTTATGACGGCTCAACTTTCCAAGATTGAACTTTTGGCACCAGGGATTGTTCGTGAAGCACTTGTGCCTCTTTGGTGTTGGGCTACCAAAGAGGCACATCCACCAAGAGCATTTGAATACCTCAGGGCAAGGTGCATGGCGCAACAAGCACCAAACTGAGTTGGAGAACCAACCAACACAGATTCTTGTTGTGTCCTTTCAACGTTTCTTGGAAGTCTAACAGATCAAACACTGCAGCTCAAAGACTGGACATTTCCTCGCCAGCCATCTGATTTTGTCATAGTGTTCCATCAGAGAGCCCCCTGGCTGCTCAATGCAGAACGTGCCCCCACGTGCTGCGATGAGAAGACAAAGAAGAACACCCCTCAGTTTCAAGCGACAGTTCTTGTGGATTCGTGTCCTCTTGACCTTTCTGGTAGCGCTGTAAAGTTCTATAGTTCATATTCAGGACCCTGGCCGCCTTTGTCAAAGGCCAATGACAATTGAGTATGGACCACTTTTTCGAACAACTCTGATACCCATTGATAACCAGGGTTTCTAACATGCAAAACGGAAACTTAAGCAATACCCATGTCATGGGCTTTTGAAGAGGGTTGTGTATCCAAAGAACAGGGTTGAGATCCAAAGGTGCCGTTCGGGTCGACTGTCCCTTGAGACCTGCATGAGCCAAGGCTCCTCTCACACATCGAATTTCCATCGCACACGTAGGCCAGCAATTCGTTGCCACTTGGCAGCACCAAGCTGCGCTTGCTCGTTCCAGCGTTTACTGGTGTCCAGCTGCTGCAAACAAGCGCGAGTAAACAGAAGAAGTTATCTTCTGAGCATTGCAACACCAGCCAGATGCAGATCCTGACTATCAGGGTGCAAATATATAGCCAAAGGGTTCCCGAAAGATTATCATAGCATGACACGACCACACCTGCCAATCCACAAATCTCACATTGAAATACAAGCCTTGAGAAATACCTCTCCACTATAGTTCTTTGATCGAACTGCATGAACAGGAAAACTGCAAACAAATTTCTGGACGTGATTTCACAATGCACAGCATTGCCAGCAAGTTTCGCAAACCCTGGGCTCGATAGAAAATTCATGGGGTTCATCTTTTGAACATACTTGGGATCACTATAGTCCAGGTCCACCCTTGCAGCAGGACAGGTGCGAGAAACCGCCCGCCACACATTGCCCACCCCCGCGAAGTACTCGCAGAACTGGAGCTCCTGGCCAGAGGGCTTGTCACTTGAGTCAGTGAACCATGGAAGGCCCTTTCAACACTTCTAAGTTCTCATTGGCAGCTGCGCAAACTCAGGACCCCGGGGCCAGGGATCGGGGAGTAGCAGCTTGCCTCCTTGAAGTTCGGTAGGTTTCCAGCGAAGTAGACGAGGATCACCGCTGCCACAAAGGCCTCAAGGTCATGGGACATAATGTAGATGCAAGACTGGAGATTGTAATGGGCAATGATTTGCAACATGCTTGGCATGCATTTGGGGTCACTAAACTCACCATGTACCGGCGGCCTTTCGTCAAGATGACTACATGGATCCATGCACGCACGTGATTACGCTTCCAAGGTGCTTTTGGAGCCTGGAGTCGGGCGAGTCTCGCCACCAATGAATCCAAGTGCAGGCGGGGCGCCATGGGTCCAAACACAAAGCAGCGGCCCAGAGTTCCAACCCTGTTTAACCCGAGACAGCACTGCGCATGAGCACATGCTAGGTTGCGACAAGGATGGATTGATTGATACCATTTGATACCCAATTCCAAAAAAAATGATTTGCGACTCCTGTCCAAAAGATCTAGCAGTCATCCTATCACTGAGTGGTGCGCAAAGTAGTCCTGATCGCCGTGCCAATTAACCCTAGCTTTGGCAACTCCAGTGAAAAACCACTGTGTCAAGATGCTTTCTTATATCATATACTGTTTTGTGTGTTGCTGTCTGATATCTTTCATGACAAAACAACGGTGAACCAAGGCCAACCAAACAAAAAGCGATCTGGGTTGGTCTCCTCGCGCCCTCCACCCGAAGGCTTCAAGAAAGCCAGGGAGACGGTCGAGCGTCATAGAGGCAGGTCGGCAGCGCTTTGATCTGCCCATCCTGTCGCACGCAGGGAGCGTGTTCTTTACATTGGCCAAGAGAGGTCAAGACCGAACAAATAGTTTACCCTATATATGTCGCGTCCTCTTGACCTTTCTTGGTACAATGTGATTCCGATCCAACCACGTACATTCGACCTGATCAAACTTGATCAACATGCCACACTTGAATTTGTTTTTGTGCGCATGACAGATAGTTGCGGTGAACCCTGCAATCCATATATAGAATGTTTGAGGGGATCATCAATATAAATGATAGAACACGCCTGTGCATTCCATACTCTGATTAAGAATGCTGATCACTGTACAAAAAAATGCACCAAAACGTATAACAGCTGCACTTGTTTTCCTTTCACCGGGACACTGCCCTCATGTCGCATCCACCCTGCAAGAAAATTCTTGCGTGGCACAAACCCGAGGCAAAACCTAACTGTCGTTAGGGCCTCACCCAAAATAGAAGTCTTCAAAGACAGATCAGGTTGCGGTTTGCAACTTGAGCCCGTTCAACGCATGGCTCGTGTGTAGGTCACACGTGCCTAATTGACATCAGGGAGAAAGAACATGGCATTTGTCTTCCAGGCTGCTGAACTCATGTGCCAAGGACATGAAGAAACCCCAAATCGCACCTCATACGATTTCAGGGATAGATTTTGAACAAGAAGGAGCAACATTGCAGCAAATTGGAAACCATGACACAATAAGCATCCTGTCTAGGACTGGAGCCATCTTGCCCTATAGATCTACAGAACCCCAAACTTTGTTCGGGTCAGTTCGGGTCAAAGGATTCCAGAGCAGCTTCATGAGCGCGAGTCAACTTGGTCTTGAAATTGACAAGCTCTGGGGCATCATAAGGGGCCGGCTGAATTGAAGCACACTTGTGGGCCTCATGCCACGAAAGGAAACAAGAAGGCGATAAGCGGGTAAGAAGCCGTGAAGCTCTTACAGAATGCACCAAAAGGTTTGAACAAAAGGTCGACTTCTGCTAAAAGTTTCCACTTGGATGGGCCTGCGAAAAAAGACCCCCGCAAGTCTGGTTTTCCCCCTTCAAAACCTGTATTTCATGTAGGTCGAACCGGACTTGTGGGGGTCTTTTTCGCAGGCCAGCCCAAGTGGAACATGTTACTCTATCGTGTACATTCCGTAGACAGTGTATGAGGGATGAACGATGGCTGTAGCAATCGCAAAGGAAACCGTTTAGTCTTAGTTGTCGAAGGCTTTTCCACCATCTTTGCAACATGAATGGTTGAGTGAGGCCCTGACCCACATGGTTGCGAGGCAGATGTTGGTGCCAGGGCATGGTGACTTCTTTGCAAAGTAGCACACCTGTTCCTTGGTGCGCACCTTGACGCCCACAGCGCACCTCGACCAATAGACACTGAGCTGAAAGCAAGCCGAGCAATCGAATGTCAATTGAGGGCACTCATGGCTGTGCTTCCCTTTCATGTTGCACTCGCCAGCTGCTTTGCACACAGCTAGCACCTTTTGAATCTCACTGACCATCTGGCAGAACTCGACATCTTCATTCTCTCCATTCTGAGGCGGCGCGCCCCCGCCCCCATTCTGACCTGCTGAGTTCCCGTCCCGACCTGCTTCGGGAGTTGCATCCTCTTCACCTTCTCCAATCCTTTCATCTTCCTCGTCCCCTTCCCTTGCCCCCTTGCCCCTCCGACGTCCGCTGGCCTTCCCTGCAGCAGACTTGGCTTTGGCCTTAGGCTGGGACTTCGCCTTACCCTTGGCCTTCTCGGCCTTAGGCTGGGACTTCGCCTTACCCTTGGCCTTAGGCTGGGACTTCGCCTTACCCTTGGCCTTTGGCTGCGCTTTTGCCTTTGGCAACTTGGATTTACTGTTCTCCTTCGGAACAGCAGCAACCTCCACATCCTTGCCCTGACCTTCTTCCTTTGCAGCCTTTCTTTGCCTCTTAGGCTTTTCCTCTTCCTCAGCACCTTCCTCGCACTTGTCACCTTTGGCTTTCGACCGAGTTCGGCTCTTCTTGGCTGGTGGCTCTTCGTCATTTGGCTCCTTGGCATCAGCCATTGCAGCCTCTGCATCTTCCTGTGTGATGTGCTTCTTCAAGCGTCGGAGTCGTTTCTGTTGTGGCTCTTCGTTGAGGTCTACATGTGGCTTGCTTGCTTTTGACTTTGCCGCTGTCTTTTTCCCCCCGACCCCTCTGTCTCCCCAACTTCTTCCTCATCATTGCCCTCTTTCTTCTCTCCCTTCCCTTTCCCTTTTCCCTTGGCTTTCTTGGCAGCTTTGGCTCCCAGCTGGTCCCGCCTTGTGACATAACCTTCTGCAAGGGAAACTTCTGGAAACTCAGCGTCGACCTTCAAGGGTAGAGAGTACAGGTGAAAGGAATTGGGTGGAGATAAGTAAATTAAACCTTCAAGGATCGAACTGCTATACAATCTACAAACCACAACAATATCATAACTTAACAGGAAAGACGCACCAACCCACACATTGCCATCCTGGCCTTTGCTTGTGCCGCAGCTGGTGGTTCAGCCCCACCCAAGTGTAGTTTTTTCTCTTCCCCGCCAACCTGCTTTCCCCCCAAGCCATCCTCGCCCTCGATGCTTGCGACTTCCTTTGAATCAGGCAGCTCGCTGGCTCCCCCGGTGCTGGGCAATGAAGGCTCCGCTGGCTCCACGGGCGGTGTTGGATCTTGGGGAGAAATGGAGACCGAGGCTGAAGACAGTGAAGCTGCTGCAGCACCTTCTCTGTCCAGAAGATCCATGATGAATGGGGAGAAAACCCAATCTTCAGGATTGGATTCTATTAGAGTGGAATCAAGGTCTCCACACAAAGGAAGGGAGTCCAAAACGGTGATAGGCATCAGTCCTTATGTTTCCATTCAGAATTCTGTGAAAATCCAGCCATGAAGCTGTTGACCACGGTCCAATGTTCTATAGACACAGGGTATCATGCAGCTTTTGTCTTAGCATTCTAGAATGTCGTAGGTATCAGGCTGTTTGTACATCGTGTCCATTTAACTGGAGTGTGTGTGCAACCAAGACTCTTCCCTCAGCTGAAGGCAATCTCGTGAGTTTCGCCAGGTGCGGTGCATTCATAAGGGGGATATTACTCCTTAGGTTGATTAAAGGCAGGTCATCAGCAAGTTGCTAAACCATTTCACCAATATTTTGGACTCATATGATGGAAGTTCGTTGTTATTTTATTGTTCAGGTTCAGTTTCGTTGAACAAATATCCCTCAGATCCACAAGCTGCAAGCTTGTGTCACAAAGAGCATGGTTTGTGAAATCCAAATGTGCCACGGTTCGTTTTCAGATCCGAAAGCAATCCTGACAACTCCTGGGCCAAACCATTGACGTCGAGCTCATCACCTTCTTCATCAGAAAGTAGGATAGCGGCCGAGTCCTGCAAGTTGCATCTCAATTTAGCAATTGGGTGTGGCTCACCAAAAGATGACAAGTTGGAGCGGCACCAATGTGACAAATGCACTTGATACGGGGTGACCTACAGTACAGGAAAGTGTCTAAGGGAGGACAACAGCATCCAGGGTGCCACTGGCCAGGCAAGGCTCCGGTCAAGATGTTTCAAGGGATGCACCGCATGTTGAAAGCACCGTGCCCAAAAAAATGTCCAAGCGATCGTTTGCTGGAAGTCGCAGTCCTCAGGTGGATTCGCAACTACGGATGCTGGCGCGGTCTCCTGCAGCAACTGCGGATTAGGCTCACTGGAGTGGGGATGTTTTTCACTGCTGGGTGTTCACGATGGGGGGGAGTGGCCAGGAGGAAACACTCTACAGTAATTGAATGACTGCTGATGGTGTTGCGCTACAAGGCTGACACTCACGGACACGTTAAGTCCCTTGCCTGTTTGAGTCTGATGAAAATGCTCAACGAGTGCATTAATTAGGTTGGATTGCAGCTGGCAAAAGAAAGCATGCAATCATATGTCCTTCTCGGATGTCATTGTATCAGCCACCGGTGGCTGCGAGTCGTCTTCTTGATCCTGGCAAATCCAAAGCGCCATGAAGAGTTGGACATCTCAAAGCGCGAGCCACTGGGAGGGCAGACATGACTTGGAATGCACCATGGGAAAAAAAGAACAGATCAGCGGTCACATATCCTGAACCTTCTGAGCAATCGTTTCACCCAGCCCCAAATCCTCCAAAGGTGGCTTAGGTGCAATCACCAAAGCTCCATCCTCCTGAGCAATTAGGTGCATGGGGGTGATCAAGAGAATTCCACCAGCGAGCACGGCAGTGTATTGAAATTCTACAATAGGATCAATCTTGGAGTTCCGAATTGCTGAAAACCGTTGACTGACCTGACCCTCGCTCCTTCCGCTCGAGGACACCCAGATCCATCAGGAGCTCCTGCACCACAGGGTCCTGAGGAGTGCGGGCGAGTGGATCA